ACTCCTCAATGGCATTCCAAAATGCTTAGAATAAAACCCAAGGCCCTTACCATGACCCGCAAAGCCCTACATGATCTGGGCCTCGAGTACCTCCCCATGCTCATCTCATTCTGTTCTCCCTTTTGTCCACCAGGCTCCCTTCACCTTTTGTTCCTGGAAATAGCAACCCCCTTCTACCCTTTGCAAATGCTGTTCTCTTTGTAGAAATACTCCTTCCTTTGTTTTTTTATGGTTGTCTCTTGTTCGCCATTCAGATTTCAGCTTACATGTCAAACTCCATAAAAAAAAAAAAACTTGTGTGATCATTTATCCGCAGAGATTTCCCTTACCATGTTATTCCTTTCACTGAACTCTGTTCCTTGCAAAATTCTGTTCTTTTGTTCATTTCAAATCTGGATAAAATACTTGAAATTTGCTTCTCTGGAATATTCGTGAAGAATAAAACCAGATTGCTATCGTGTCCATCGAGTCCTAAAAGATGTAAGAGGTAGATAAATCCCCACAAGGATCTTGTAAGCTATCTCCTACCAGTTTGTGAGGTAGGATCCTAGAAACTGACATACTAACAAGTGACATTTTCCCCAGTAATTAAGGTTTTTTTTTTAAGATTTTATTTATTTATTTTAGAGAAAGAGCGAGAACCCACACAAGCGTGGGAGTGGGGTGAGGGGCAGAGGGACAGAGAGAATTCCAAGCAGACTCCCTGCTGAGTGCAGAGCCCGACATGGGGCTCCATCTAATGACCCCAAGATCATGACCTGAGCTGAAATCAAGAGTCCGATGCTTAACTGACCCAGCCTCTCAGGCGCCCCCAGCAATTAAAGTTTTAAAAAAAATCTTTTAAAAATACAGTTTCTGGTTTTTTCTCTTGTACTTGACCACAGGTCTGTGACAGAGGCAGCGTTACTGCTGTCATTACTATATTTACAGACAAGGAAACTGAGGCATGGAAAGCACTAACTTGCCAAATACTGTTTATAAATGAGAAAACCGCAATTTACACAATGAGCTTAGGGTCCACTGCTCTTTTTACTATAGCTTTTTGCTGAAATGTCAAATGCCACATTTTATTGCATGTGGGAAGCTCAT